TATATATATATATATATGTATATATATATTCCAAGACAGGGTTTCTCTGTATAGCTTTGCACCTTTCCTGGATCTCACTCTGTAGACCAGGCTGGCCTTGAATTCACAGAGATCTGCCTGGCTCTGCCTCCCAAGTGCTGGGATTAAAGGCGTGTGCCACCACTGCCCAGCTGATATCATTCTTTTTATCGATGAATAACACTCAATTGTATAAGTGTACCACATTTTCTTTATGTATTCTTCTGTTGCTGGACATGGGGGGTTATTTCCAATGTCTATCAACTATAAAGAGATCAGCAATGAACATAGCTGAGCAAGTGTCCCTGTGGTAGGATGAAGCATAAGAGACCTTAGAACACTCAACCTAAATGGAATGTCATCATCAAATCCTTTCCCTCAGAGCTCAAGGATCCCTTCATAATAGATGGCAGAAAGAGTGTAAGAGCCAACAGGGATCCAGGACACTAAGGAAACAAGGCCTTCTATACCAACATAAACAAAGGTCGTATGAACTCACCCAGACAGCATGTACAGAGCTTTCATAGTTCTACACCAGGTCATCTGCATTTATTTTATGGCTTCCAAGTTTAGTGTTTTATGGGATTTGAGAGCATGCACACCAGTGAGTTTCTGATTCTTGTGCTTTCTCTTGGGCTCTTTTCTTCCTGTTGGTTTGTCTTGTTAAACTTTGATGTGATGGTTTATCTTATTTTTCTATATTTTAAAAAGTAAAGGACTAATGAATGAAAACCTAGTCACTGGAGCAAAGATTAACAACTGAACTGTCATTTATACCTGCTGGGAGAGGGGATATCAGTTTCTCCAACAGAGTGACACTAGGTATATCAATCACACCAGGATAGGGCCTCATGTTCAGGAATAGTTGACAACCATATAGTCAACTCCACAGGTTTTTGTTGTTGTTGCTTTGTTTTTATGCTTTTATTTGGTTACAGTGTGGGCTTTTATTTTTCTTTTTTGGTGTTGCTGTAATTTATTTTCTAGGTTCTGGGTGGTTGCTGTTGTACTGGATTTTAGAGGAAGAACTTAAAATTAGGTAGGTAAGGGAAGAGCTTGTGGGAGGGGAAGCATATGGTAAAAATATACTTGAATTTAAAAATTGTTTTAAATAATAAAGATATAATAAAAAAGATAAAGTTAATATAAATTGTTCATGAGGAAATTTTTTTTTGAGTTGAATATCAAAAGATCACATTTTTAATTAAGCAGAATTTCTAAAATAAACTATCAAAATATAGTGAAAAAGGAATCCTATAAATAAGAATGAAGAATTCTATATAAGATGTATTTACTGAAAAAAAACCTACAAACTTGAAAATTATGCATGGTGCCCAAGCAGGGTGTCTCAATAAGGAATGTCAGGGTATCTAGAAGTGCCAGGGTGTCTCAGTAAGGAACCATTCAAAATAATTTTAAAAATTAACATATTTGAAGCTATTGTAAAGGATGTTGATTCCCTGATTTCTTTCTCAGGCCATTTATGATTTGTATATAGAAGGGCCACTGATTTTTTTTTTAAATTAATCTTGTATCCAGCCACTTGACAAAAGGTATTTATCAGCTGTAAAAGTTCCTTTGTAGAATTTTTGGGGTCGCCTGTGTATACTACCATATCATCTGTGAAAAATGATACTTTGACTTCTTCCTTTCTGATTTGTATCCCCTTGATTTCCTTTAGTTGTCTTATTGTTCTAGCTAGAAATTCAAGTACTGTATTGAATGAGTATGGAGATAATGGGCAACCTTGTATAGTTCCTGATTTTAGTGGAATTGCTTTGAGTTTCTCTCCATTTATCTTGATATTGGCAATCAGCTTGCTTTATATTGCAGAAGGTCTAACACACACACACACACACACACACACACACACACACACACACAGAAAAAGACCAACAGACTACAGAAGATATATATTTGGTAATCTGGTTCATTCATTGGCTTATTATGAATAGTTGACTGTCTTTATCCAGATTGCTGGCCCACTACACTCAGATTGCTTTAAAAAGTTTCTAATGAACTTTGTGTTGCTAGTAGGCTCTCCTTGGTTCTCACCAAGCCTGATGTTTCTCTGTTCCTATCAGAATGGCTAAATTCAAAAACACACTGACAGCTAATGCTAGAGAGGATGTGAAGGAAGGGGATCATTCTTCCATTGCTGGTGGGAATGCAAACTTGGACAGCCACTTTGGAAATCAATATGGTGGTTTCTCAGAAAACTGGGAATCAATCTACCACAAGACCCAGCTATACCAGTCTTTGGCATATATGCAAAGGATACTCAATCATACCATGAAGACACTTGCTCATCTATGTTCATATGTACATGTAATAGACAGAACTTAGAAACAACCTAGATGTCCCTTAACCAAGGAATGGATAAAGAAACTGTGATACATATACACAAGGGAGTATTCCTCAACTGTTAGTAACAATGATGTCATGAAATCTGCAGGCAAATGGATGGAACTAGAAAAAAAATCATCCTGAGTGAGGTAATTCAGACCCAGAAAACAAACATGGTATGTACTCATTCATAAGTGGATATTAGCTCTAAACTAAAGGATAAAATTGTTATGATCCACAGACCCAGAGAGACTAGGTAACAAGGAGAGTTCAAGGGTGGGGGAGACACATAGATCTTCCTGAGAAGGGGAAATAGGAAAGATTTCATGAGTGGACTATGGGCTGATAGGGATGGCAACATGAGCCATCAGTTTGGAGGGATATGGAGGAGAGTACTAAAAGAGACTACTGGAAAGAGAAGGCATTTTGTGGTCAGGTAAAAACCTGGTGCAAGGAAATCTCCCAGGAATCTACAAGAATGATCCCAGATAAGACTCCTAGCAATATGGATATATAGTCTGAACTGGCCATCTCTTGTGACCAGTGGAGAGAGCAGAAAACCAACCCAGCCACATATCCTTTCACCTACAGTCTGCCTTGTCTGTGGGATGCTGCAGTAAGGGTGGACTAGAGGTTGAGGGAGTGGTCAACCAATGACTAATCTAGCCTAAAACCCATGCCAGGAGTGTAAGCCCATCCCTGACGCTGCTTTGAATACCAGGACCCATGAGCTGGATGACCCAGAGATCTAAGATAGAACCAAATATGACAGGAGGGAAAAAACGTCAATGTAATGATGCCTAATGTTATTCTGCTATACATATAGATTGGTGCCTAGTCCAAGTGTTACCAGAGAAACTTCATTCAGCAACTGATGGAAACAGATACTGAGACCCACAGCTAAACATTAGGTGGGTCTCAAGCAATCTTGCAGAAGAGGGGGAGAAAGAATTGTAGGAGCCAGAGAGGTCAAGAAATCTATAAGAAAACACACAGAATCAATGAAACTGGTGTCAAAGGGCCTCATAGAGACTAAATTGACAACTAGGGAGCCTGCGTGGGACTGACCTAGGCACTCTGCATATATATTACAATTGTGTAGCTT